CTTAATATTACGTCCCCAAATACACCTGCATTGTTACCCTACTTGGCCGTAGGTGAGGACAAAATGAGTCCCAGACAGTTTGGTGCCACCATCCTCCGTCAGATGCACAACAAGACACTCCGCAAGAAGCTGCAGGTGACCGCCAAAACGTTAAACGACGAAGGATCCATCACCTTCAGTGCCTTCAGCACCTTTCTGTTCTTTTTGGAGAACATCCATGACGTGGGTATGGCGTTGCAATTCGCGCGCGAGGGCAATAAGGGCGTGGATAAAGGTGTGTAAAAGGGTCTTTGATAAAGGTGTGTAAAAGGGTATTTGATAAAGGTGTGTGAGAGGGTGTTTGATGAAGGTGTGTGCGAGGGTCTTTTGTTTCGAAAGTAAACAGAGGCAATAAGAAATCCATAAACGCCAGGGCGAGTCTGTGACCGGGCCTCACTTACCTACACTGGCTCATTTAAACTGGCTCACCTACACTGACTAACCTACTCTGCCTTACCTACACTGCCTTACCTGCACTGGTGACGTACCAGCACACGGTGTTCTGTTGGGTGGAGCGTAGTGGTTACCGTTGTTGTCTTTTGAACTATATTCGGCCTTAAACCCGGACCATTATCGTTCGTATGTCAGTCACGTCAATTAGACGGATCGTTCTTTGTATCTGCTTACAAGTATACTACTCGATGTAAGCTTTCTTAACTACACATGTACGTACCATTGATATAGGTGGCCTGGGTATATACTTGGGCTACAGTCGCATTGTCCTGCCTACTCGCATCCCATATAATGTTCTTGTCATACGTAGTGATACTTATATCACCTTTATACCTGCTTGGCTTGCCCAGATTTCCTAGTAGTACTTAAGTGTGATTTACGTATTGTTGTTGTATATATGCAAACACTACGAGGCTGATTTGCATATTTTCAGCTCGTGTTTGGAAACTGTTTTGCGTTCCCCCGTGGCGATCTTCCGAGTGCGTTCTGACGTATTCGTCAAACCTGCACAGAACCTTACCGTGTACGTGTCATAACGTGTTCAGAGCTCTAAACGCCTTTAAGTTAACAATTCGAATCCACAACGCACTCCATTCGATTGTCCAAGCTTTCTCATGTTTTCATCTCGTCCTAAACGTACGTACGCATTCACAGACATATTTTACCACCACCACGTACGTCCCTTATGACCGTCACCCGAGCATTTCCTTGGGAAACTAACGCGTTCTACCGTAGTCTCCCCAAGCCTCAACCCAACCCCTGTCGCTGACCTGTTTCTTGTGTGGGACTGTACTGTTGTCCTGCAGAGAGCTTCAAGCGCGCGTTTAGAGTCATCGTTCGCACGGACGCCGACAGTGCGATAGTGGATGCCATATACGACATCTTCGACACAAACTGTACGTAGGCTGTTGGTTTTGTTGGTGGTGTGTGAGCGAGTGATTGTTTTCCGTAGTTGTCTGCGACATCGTTGACACAAACTGTACATGGACTGTTGGTTGTGTTGGTGGTGTGTGAGCGAGTGATTGTTTTCCGTAGTTGTCTGCGACATCGTTGACACAAACTGTACATGGACTGTTGGTTGTGTTGGTGGTGTGTGAGTGAGTGATTGTACTACGTAGTTGTTTGTGACATCGTTGACATAAACTGTACGTAGGCTGTTGGTTTTGAGTGAGTGATTGTATTACGTAGTTGTTTGTGGCATCGTTGACATAAACTGTACTTAGGCTGTTGGTTTTGAGTGAGTGATTGTATTCTGTAGTTTGTTTGTCACATCGTTGACACAAACTGTACGTATTGTTTGTCTGTAGTTGCTTAGTTGTGAGTTGGTGTTGCTTTCTTTGCTTTGGTATCTAGTCATTCAATTGGGCACGGACGTAGTGTATACTCTCATTCACAGTCGCGTATATATATATATATATATATATGTAGGTGTTCTTCATACTTGATCAGTTACATGCATTTGCATTTGCTTGGTAGGATAGTTACTAGGTATATAGAGGCCTAGTATTCACGGGGTATATAGTGGCTTGGTATTTACCCGAGGCGGCCGGGGAGGGGGGAGGGGTATTTAATGGCCTGGTATTCACGAGGTATATAGTGGCCTGGTATCTGAGGGGTATATAGTGGCCTGGTATCTGAGGGGTATATAGTGGCCTGGTATCTGAGGGGTATATAATGACCCGTACGTTTCTTACGTTGTTTTGACTATGGTTTTTCAGTAGGTATTATTGTGGACTTTATTGATCTGGTGTGTCATAGTCGGCGTAGTGGATGATTTGGCCCAGACCGCCACAGGCGACTTAAGTATCACTACTGTGTGATTGTTGAGACTAAGTCTGGGGGTTTGTATCAGCGCATTTGTTCGTTAACCAATACTCAATAACACTAAAACGGGCGTGGTAGTATTCTATTAAGCCTGTGATTGTTTATATCTCGCAGCATGTCTGGTGCCGTTTAATGTTTTCAAACGCCGGGTGTTTGTTATGTGTCTCCCATTAGTAAGATTTTAACTGAGCGAGCCACTTTTTTGTCTTTCGATTATCTTTGCATCTCCAGCCGACGGCTATCTCTCGAGGAAAGAATTCTACGTCGCAATGAAAGACCAGGCCATACATGTGAATCAGGTACACAGCTATATATATATATATATATGATATGATATTTATATTATGTATATGTATACGTATATTTCTATAATATATGTATATGTATATATATATATATATATATATTATGTGTGAGTGTATATTTAGCTTACATTGTCGCTCAATGATATATGTGCGATCTCACCGAGTCTACAAGTGCGTGTATGGATATAAATGGTATATTTTTATTTTTAGATTACGCTATCGTAGACTTAGACAGCAAAGTTACTTGTAGTTCATTTATTTCTTTTCGGATAATGCTTGCTTATAAAAACGTCCCTACACCCCATCGGCTGATAGGTCTCTGTTAGTATACCATGTACCATGTTTGTCGTGTATATCCAGAAAACCTGCTGATATCCACATATAACTACCAGACCCCTCCGGTAGGTTCCATCTTACGTTGTAATGCGATGACTCATCTCACTGCACCTTACACAGAATACTCTTGGCCTGGGTGTGACCGAAGGATTTACTGGGCTCGTGCTCTGTGTCAAAGAAAAGGTCGCCGAGATGCGTGAAATGGAAGCATGAGATTAGCTGTATCTTCAGTTTGGCATAGTACTATACCTCACCGTTCGTGCCACTATGGAATGGAAGTATATGTGTGTGCATTTCAAAATACGACCATATAGCTTGTTGGTATTGACCTACTCTATATACGAATATAGATTTATCTGATTGGGCGTAGCACTTTAGACCGTCCTTCATACAGACCTTAGGCACAGCACATGCGCCAATAAGTCTGTGCGGCAGGTTAGTGCTTGTGTGCGGAGTGTGCAGTGCGTGCAGACGTCTATTTAAAAGTATGATGCGGAGTTCTCACGGTACGGAGAAGGGCCACACATGCCCCTGACAACGGAGTGATTTATGACCAGACAGGTGGTAGACGGTTGAATGATGTTAACCTGCAACATTTGTGAAGGGTATGTAGTACGAGTCGGCACAAGCTGTGGTAAACTGTGAGTTTCTCATATGGATCGTACATATACCGTCTGAAGGTGCTTGGATGATTCAGTCCATTCACGACGGGCAATGGGACACGCCTGCCGATGAGTTGACATTATTTCAATAATGTTCCGTTGAGAATCTTTGTTTCTGACTTTGACGCCACACTTTACTTCCCACTCTTAGCACACTACTTAAGTTAAGGGCGAGGGAGGTTAGTACAATCCCCTATGTATTCTCACTACTTTGTTTAAGTGAAGTTTGGTGCAATCCCCTACTCGATATCTGCGTTGTATTCTCGCCCCACAAGAAGTGTGCGAAAGCTGCCTCAGCACGGGCCGACCACATGATTTCTTAAGCAGCCTATACCTGTTGCCTAGCGTTGACAACTCCGCAATCTGTATGGGACTGCGCTGGGACATCCACTGTCGAACCGCCTTCTGCTGATATAAGTTGCTAATTTGCTACCACCAACTGCGGCTGTGGCGCATACATTGATCCCATTTTAACGCGTTCATTGAGCTACACTCAATAGTATTAAAGAATCACTACACTTAAGGGGACCACGCTCTTTACGCAAATTTAAAATAAATAAATCCAGTGAGAATGAATGATGCGGGAGTTAAAATGGCGTGTGTCATCGGGACTTAACAAAGTTCTTCCCGGGTGGTCCGACCCCTGCTCGCTTTAACCGGCCGTATCTCCAATGGCCACCGCACCCTTACCAGATTCTCGTCCTATAGCCACAGAGTACAATCCCTGGTCCGTAGTGCTAAGGCTCATCTTGTTGAGGGTGCTGTGGGACGTCGCGCTCGACATGCTGCGCATCTCCACGGTCACGGTACCGTTCTTGCGGAAACACATGGGGACATATCTGGAAATCCGGGCGCGTGTACTCCTTGTAGTATGCGTCGATATGATCTGGTGTGGGCAGCTGGTCGAACGTGAGTTTCTTGGGTACCACCGCAGTCCTTTCAGTTGCATCCTAAGCTTCACACATTGACCAGATCATGCACCTGTAGCCGTTTGGATAGTTGTACATAACTATGTTGTCTGGGATATTCTTTGTGCATATCACTTATATGCTAATTTTAAAAATCTTGACACGCATTAAATGCGCCAGCGTCATTCGATATAGAACCTAACTAATACAACAAACCTAGAAATGGGATTGACTTAAACCAGACCCAATCTCTCAAAGTACTGTAGTCACGAATGATGCAGAGAGGTCAGAATGTTCCGAATCGTGTAGGTTTGCACAGCCGCAAATAAACCAAGGCCGAAAGGTAGGATTCTATATATGCATGTGTCCTCATATGCTACATTAGTGTAGGAACATATCATAAGAAGTGCACAGTATTCATTCCTTTCTTCCGTCTACAATAATATTGATTTTTTTTACATGTACTTGGGTGATCATGCCGTGTACACAGCACGCGGCAGACATGAAGTAAAGTATATGTCCTTAATTAATGTTTAACAGCTATAAGATTTACGTGGAATTTAAAGGCTTACAAGTATTTATGTTTTTATTTTGTTGTGAGTAACCCCGAGATATATTAAAGCTATACACCAAAAAGGTGTAATCGAGGTCTAGCTTCATAATTTTTAGTACGACAGAACCGAACAGAAATGACCCCCTTCAATATAAAGCATGCCAAAGACTAGTACAATATTAAACTATCTTAACTACTTTTATACTACCTAAAGTTCCATCTCCATACAATATAAACCAGCATCCACGTGTTGAATCTCGCACCGGTCATACGCTGTCAGACATACATAATATATACACCATCGTATAATACTTAGTATTGTAACTTAGTATTTTAGATTTGGCTCTAGGGTACAATTTAGCTTGCTGGACTGAATATCGACGAATGAAATATGCTTCGAGTCGTGTCTGAATCGCACCACTGAAATATAGTAGTAAGCATCAATGCTTTCCCTTGGGAAATCGCGACGTACATACCCATTTGGTTGTATGTTTCATACAAATACCACAAACTACCCTGTACTGGGTAGAATCTATTTTTGGTATTCAAAATAGACTACTCAAACATGGCACCATAGATACGTAGAACAAAATTGAGCCAGCTATCGCTTCCAGCTTTAGTGGCGCTGGGTCCGTCACACTGGCCAGTCAATTCTCAGACAATCATTGCCTTGACTATCAGCACATCTAAGGTATTCAGAGCTGGGACCAGGGGTCTAGTTGAATGTAATAGGTAGGCAACTTTTGAGCCGCACTGGTGGACGACTTCACAACTTTTGATGAAACTGCCTCCGGAAACTGATCATCAGTGCATACGAAATCGTCAACATCGCACAGGTCTTACCTGTCGACGAATTGCTTGATAAGGTTTATTGTCGTCTCCGATGCTAAAATACTTGAGGTATAGGTTGCTGTCATCGTTTGAATCCCTTTGTCAGGGTAATATGAGTCATATCCAGATTGGGTGACCGTAAAATTGATGGGTGACCAGTCAGTGTAGCACACACGCCAAGAAATATTCCTTGGGTACAGGCAGCCGACACAGCATACGCACTCAGCATTCATCGGTGGTATGCCACCATCTGTGATAGGTGTTTCAACCTTGGTGGGCGTAGGTGACGAGGGAGCACCACCAAATCCACATTGTGATGCTGATGAGCTACAACACTGCACTATTGAAGCGTATTCGTCATGTTCACCGAAAGCATCGGGCGGACAGAACCGGCTGAAACCAGTCTCCATTGAATTTTTATATTCTCTGTAGGGCGTAAGTTGGTGGTAGAGTAGTGCCATCATGACAGTACGCAATTTGCAGTGTCGTCAGCAAGACAGTACCTGATGGGGTTGTTTGCACCATATATCCACGTTACATAATAGCGGTGACTGGGTACAGCGATTTCTCTGACTCGAGCAAAGGTTTTTCACTATTTCGTGCGGTCATGCACATTGGGTTAATACAGTTCGAATATTGTCAATGCCGGTAGAACCATATAGCTGGAAATTGAAATACCCACGGACTCATCTATTGCGCTACCCTGAGTGTATGTTGCTTTAGGTGTGGTGGCAACATTCTAATTCTTGGGATTCTCGTGCCATTTGTCTTCGAAGAGGCCAAGGCGATATAATTTACTCATTGTAACTGGTCCAAATGCCGCCAAGGACTGTGGCTCGTAGTTGTTCGACGCATTTGTAACTTTTGGCCAAGATAGATACACATGTTCAATAACAGTATATTACTTATTATATCGATTCAATGCTGAATATGATGAGCTGCTATTTGTATTTTGTGACTACCTTTTATAGTTCACGGATAATGTTTAGATGACGTGGTGAATATGTTTCAAAAGTATTGCAACTGTAATTTTTAAGAGCAACTCACTCCGCTGATATCATCATACTGACTCAATACGAGTATGCTGCACATGTGTTCAAATATTGGTGGTGAATGGGTTTGCAGGAGTCACCGATAGACGCCTTCAACAGTAATATAATTGAAGCTCTTGAGAGCAGCATAGTCATTCGAAATCATCATGCTGACTCTGTACTAGTATCCCGCACACCTATCTGACTATCTGTATACTAGTAAATACCTTGCACATGTATTCTAACATAGTTAATACTGTCAAAACCGATGATCGGTCCAATTGGTCGTCCGGTTACGAGCCACTCTCAGAAAAAATAAATGAATAAATACGTAGCCTTCTGAAAAAAGGCTATGATAATTGATAAATAACACAAAAATGTATTTACTGTGCGGATACATAGCCTGATTGGGTGATTCTAAGGATTGAGATTCCGTTCCCGTGAATTTAAAGCCAATCAAAAGAATATTAAAAATACCAATACATATGTATATATGTACAGTCTGGTATATACATACCATAGTAAAATCCTATTGGTTCTTTTAGGCGCGTTGTTACATGTATCTTTGTGAATGCCAATTGTAAAATAAGTTGCAATACACGTTACACAACTGTATGGCAAATCAAAAGTGTGACTTTTGAACGCGCAAGATACGACTTGTGAGTTGTGAATTGTGACTCTTGTGTGATTTTGTGATTTGTGGTATGTGATTTTGTGATTTTGCATATCATAGCCCTTTCTAATTCTTATATGGTTTACGCCCGTTACGATCTTAGGGGTTGGCTTGTCGTTTAGACTACATACATACCGTGAAGAAGACGATGCCAATATTTTGTCTTTCGTGATTTTGTGTTTGACTGTTTGTATACATATATAAAAGATATGTTCAATTTAGAAGGCTATGTTGTGTATATCATATGTGTACATATTTTATAAATATTATACTACAAACAAAATGCCTTCCGTTCAATGGCTGAAACAGTGGAGAGAGACCTACCTAATCGACATCGTTCCTGACCGGGATCGATCGAGATAAGGTTGTAGACGTAGTTTGCGACGTTACCTTGATGAACGAAATACTGACTGCTCTCTAGTAGTCTCTAGAGTAGACAAAATTCAAGGTATTTTTATATATTTATAATTTGTTTAAAAAAGTAAAAAAACATAGTCTTCTAAAAATTAAACAAGGTAAACATTAAAAAAACAAAGAGACAGTTGGCAGTGTATTTGTTTGTTGTTGTTTTATAAAAATATTTAAAGAAAGAGACAGTCACAACCACGAGACCTACGACAGTCACAACTACTTATTTAAAAAAGCAAAAAATAATTGTATGTAAATAATGTATAACTGAGAAGGCTATGTAGTATGTATTTATGTGAACATAATTATATGCCTATTTATTTCTAAAATCGTTTTTATTTATGTATTTAGTGAGTAAATATGTAAATAGTCACCACTCACAAGTCAGCAGTTTGCAGCTGGGGGATATTTTATTATTATTTAAAAAAAATCATTCCCACCCTCCCCCACCTTTGAAAAACAAATCGCACAAACTTCAAACTCAGTCTTCTGTCTTCACTCTTCAGACTTCAAAATTCAGTTCAACGGTATTTTTTTATTATGAATTTTAACCTCACAAGAGAAGTCCTCAACGACAACAACAACTGTCAACAGTCAACACCCAACACAAGAAAAGACAGCAACTTGTTTTGTTTTTCTCTTCCATGTATAAAAAAGCCCCTCTTTTTATGTATAAATAGTAAATACTGTATTTTAGAAGGCTATGTATACATAATATAAAAAAAAAACTTCAAAAGTTCTATCACAACACTTTTTTAATAAAAAATTGAAGTCAGAAGTGTGACTGAGAACTTTGAGTATTGATCATTTCTGAGTTCGGAGTACTGAGTTATGAAGTTCTGAGTTCTGTTTTCTCAGGTTCTGACCGGCAGACTGGCACGCGACCTATCGCAGTATCCGGTATTCCAAGAGTCATAAACTCATTTGAAAAAGTAGAATGCTATGTTTATTCAAAACAATTATTGTCTGAGTACCGTAGTTTTAATTATATTTGTTTTGTTTTTGAAAACTGATGGAAATCAAAACAGTCAAAACACACAAAAACCCATTTTTCCTGAAAATTTGAAATTAGAAAATATACATAAAATACTGACTAGTAGTAGAGAGTGAGTATTTAAAAAAAAATGAACTGAGTATGTATGTACTGAAGTTTGATGACTCGATGAGAGACTGTGACTCTGAGAACGTACAGACTATAGACCCTCTGTACCTAGAGTCATCCTACAATAGTGACTGACAGCTGGGAGGCTGTGAGCCGACTTTTCTCGTGTTGGAGATCTGAATTCTGAGAATGCCCCATAAACTTCCTCCCACCCATTTTTTGTTTTTTTACTATCTGTTTACTCTTGGAATCTAAGCCTCTAAGGTACATTGTAAGGTACATTGCAGTTTGCTTCATTAGCCTGGGCTCAGTGAGCTGGTTTACGACAGCACTTTGACCTTTTTCTATGACGACGTCGGAAACTACTTTGCCTTGACGACACGTCCAGACGACGTGTAAAATTACAGTCAGAAGTTCGATATACGTCATGATATTCTCGTAAGACGACATATAGCAACGGGCTGGTAGCTAGTTTGCGAAGTAAAAATGTGTTTGTCGTATACCAGGCCAGCCATTTAGCCTACGTATCCCCCTTTTTTTACCGAACCTCCGGAAGGTTACGAACTCCTAACAAGGACAAAAAGCGAACCCTAGTAGAAAGTGGTATAATTTTTTTTACCTGACCCCGAATTTCAATACACAAGTGACTTTAGAATTTAGCTAAAAAAACGCTAAATCACAGTAGGATAGACTCCTCCTTTGATTTGACCTCAGGCTCGGAGCGCCGAAAAATACATGATACAGTACGGAGTAGTGAGTATGGAGTACTGACAATTTCAGAGGAGCAAGTTCTATTTTAAAAAAAACAAAAACAAATATACATATATATATATATATGGTTTTTTAATAATAAATAAATAAGGGTTTAGGATTACATACTGGATATGCGACTTTTAAGAAATACATTGACAGTATTGCGTAGGCTACTCCTAGTTTCAATGATTCAATCTCGAAGGCTCGAGGGAGTCGTGGACTCGAGGGCCCACTCGAGGCTAACCTCAAAACGTATAACGTTTATTCGTTTAGATTCTACTCGTTAAATGTCGAACGTTGAACGTTGAACGTATATTTAATATTACCGTAGCTCGGTCTAGTATATATTCGAAGGGATCAGATTTCAGGTTGAGCATGTCGCCAGGTTTTGTCCTTATTCTCACTCGTTTATTGTTCTATACTTCATTCACATTATGTGGCTAAATATATAGTAGTAGGTGCGCAATCTAGGTCGTGCTGACCGGTTTTTTAAGCCAATATAGATTGTTATATAAATACGTTTCTACATACGTTTTTAATTGACCCGTTAAACATCATTCTTTAAGCGTATATTTAAACCCTTGTGGCGGACCGCGGAACGTTAAAATTTAGGAATAGGCTCGAGGGCTCGAGACTCGAGGCCCGACCTCCCGAGGGCTGTCGAGCACTGCTGTCGATAGCCAAGGCTTGAGGCCAGCCAATGCTCACATATTTATCGCTATAATACCAATACAAAAATACAAAAGTAGAAAAGTATTTGAACTATGACGAAGTACGATGAAAAAGTTGAATGACTGGTTGCGAAGCTATTTTCATTTCAATGAAGCCTAAAGATTCGGCCATTGAGAACCATAGAAGCCAATATTTTAACTCCATCCAGTATTCTGATCAGTAGAATCGTAGATCAAATAAATGATAAAAGTATTAGTTTCGAAAAACTGGATTTTCATACGGCGACAGCGTCGAATCAAGTTTCTCTTGATTCATCACAGGTTGTATTTATATACAACAACTATACTGTCTATACATCACTTCTATATGATAAATAAGTGCGGAACGGTGGTCGGTGGGTCCTTGGCTGTCCGTGTGTGGGTCTAAGACTCCAAGTCTCTGAAGTGGCCGAGGCCCGAGAGTGCCAAGCACCAATAAAAAGTTCAGATTGAGATTAGATCTATCAGCAGAAACCGGTAGTGAATAGTTTTACTACTACTAGTAGCAGTAGTGCCTACAAGAAAATTTAAAAAATATCGATTCTGATGGGTTGCAAATCGCGGGCCCTATGCATATAAATATGTGTAGAACTAGCCATTCACATATCAGTCCAAACCAAATAATAAAAGGTTCATAGCTTCCATTGTAAAAAATAAAATAATTAAAGATGCTGTCTACAATTTGTTTTGCCGCCATCAGCGCGATTGGCCTCCTCGCAAATACCACGGAAGGCAGCAGGAGAATCAATGCGCGCACCAACGGTTCATTAACCGCCTCATACGCCCAAGCTGTAGATGCCGCTATATGTACAAACATAAGCATTGACAGTGAACCGTCAGCTCCAGAAACCGTCACAATCCTCAGTACACAACAATTTGTCCTCTACACAGAATCTGTGCGAAGGAACGAGACATATGCGAGTTGCTACCCCAAGGAGTTAGGAATGCAGAACAAGGGATGTGTGGTGTTCGCGTCCCAAGAAGAGTGCCAAGTGTTTCGCGATGATTTGCAAGCAGATGCCCGGAGTATGATTGACGTCGCGCTAATATACACCGATTATATTAGCGTGTGTTCTGCCGAGCAAGTAGCCACAAACGACACCGCAGAATGCCAAGCTTATATTGTAATCTAAATGTACCTGGATGCACATAAAATCTTATAGTTTATACTCCCTTTGTAAACTTAAAAAACTATTGTTATATGCTTGCTTTGTGACGTTGACCTCTCCTGCTCATCGGATGTGCGTCGTGATGGGTTTGAATCATCGCATATTAAAACATACTCCGAACGATAGTCAATGCATTTTTGTCTTGAAACAACACATATTTGCAAGGCCCCCGTTTGCATCGAATTTATCAATCTGAGTGTATATTGGATCAGCTGGTGAGTTTCTGGAAGAATACGTGTATCCGTGTTTATATCCAGGGGCAGATGATGTATTTTAAAAACGGCTATCTACGAAGAGGTATAAGTACGAATATTGCATATATATATATATATATATCGATATGATAATAATATACATATAATATAAAAATATATATTTAATATAATAATATAATATAATAATATAATAATATATATATGTATGTGTGTGTATATGATATATATAAACAAAGATATATATGTATATATAACATATATATATATATATATATATATATATATATATAAATATATATAACACGGCTGGGAGGCCGCGGGGACTAAAAACGCATAATTATAGGGGTAACTTACCTGTTTGTATTCAGACATTCTGATTCGGGCCTATTGATTATTATGTATTGGGTCTCAAATGGACAAAACCCATTCCAGCCGGAAAAAAAGACGTCACTGGCGATTTTCGGGGGACGGACAAACAATCGGTGATAAAGTCGACAGGGACTTAGAAAAGCTTACACACACACACACACACACACACACACACACATATATATATATATTAATATAATATATATTTATATATA